CCATGCCACAGCACCATGCCACAGCACCATGCCACAACACCATGCCACAGCACCATGCCACAGCACCATGCCACAGCATGCCACAGCGGCATGCGTGTCTGGACTGACGTGCAGAGAACTTCATTAAAGGCCGTCGGAAGCTCAGGACAATTTCAGGCTATCATGCCACCGGGGGGCGGGGGTATGAGGGGAGAAGGGGAGTTGTGAGGGGAGAAGAGGGGTTGTGAGGGGAGAAGAGGGGTTGTGAGGGGAGAATTGGGGTTGTGAGGGGAGAAGAGAGATTGTGAGAGGAAAAGAGAGGTTGTGAGGGGATAATATGGGTTTTGAGGGGAGAAGAGAGATTGTGATGGGAGAATATGGGTTTTGAGGGGAGAAGAGACGTTGTGAGGGGAGAATTGGGGTTGTGAGGGGAGAAGGGGAGTTGTGATTGGAGAATTAAATAGGGGATTTTAAGGGAAAATTGGGTTGTGTGAGGGGAGAGGGGACCTTTGTGGGTAAATTTTTTGAGACACCACCAAGGGGTGAGTAACTCAGTAATGATTTTAGTTATACAATGACATAATAATTGCGAAAGGGTAATAGCGCTGAGATAGTCATATCTGGAGTAATATACGAGGTCATAGATGTGATGAATAATATAATATATAAATAATACATAAATAACCAATTTAGTGATAATGAAGTGAGTCATACCATCACAGAGAACACGTGTAATGGTAATGGTATTTAATTAAACCGGTGTACTTAAATCTCTTCGTGGTAAACTCGTAACAATAATGGTAATGATGGTAATTGATGTTTAACTAGTAAAAAATTTACAGTCGCGACTTAAAACAGAAGTATAAGCGAAGTATTGATAGCGGTCAATACCATTTATAGTGGTTTAAAAATTGAAAAACATTTAATAGTCACAAAATATTAGTTTAACAATGCTCGAATGCAATCACACATAAATTGTTCCCTATTGAACGAAAAGTTTTTATGGTAGAGACGAAAAAACTTTTCTTTCAATTTCTGAAATAAATGCTTAGAGCACACAAGTAAATATCAAACCTTGTAATGCTGTTACGATAAATATTAATTTTAGCCAAGAAATATTCGTTAAATAAATAATCTACGTCAGCTATCAAAATACTAGAGCGTGAATTAATTAGAAATTTATCATTGTAATAATTATTCATCGTGGTAATAACTATTTATCTTTTTAATAATCATTCATCATTGTAATAATCATTCCTCATAGAATGGCGGACTCTATTTTTTCGAAATGAAGTCTACGGGAAATAAGTCGAACAGTTGAATAACTTTTTGGTGAAGTGAATAACTTTGTTATGATGAATAACTTTGTTAGTGAGTGAAGTGCGACATGCTAGGGTGAGGGGAGTGTGATGATGGTAATTTATCAACATTAATGTTAGCGTAACATTGTGTAGGTATTCATGTTAATTACCTTTACGAGGGAAACGCAGTTAAAGTAAACACTAAGCTAGATCTGTGTGAGTAATCAGGTACGAGTAACCATGTGAGAGACAACCGTGACATTAAATACGATTTATCGGTTGTTTAATTTCTATCACATGAGTTCAACCATATGAGTCATACTTCTTGATATTGACTTATTGGTGACAGTATAATGAACTACCATGACAGTATAATGAACTACCATGACAGTATAATGAACTATCATGACAGTATAATGAACTACCATGACAGTATAATGACCTACCATGACAGTATAATGAACTACCATGACAGTATAATGACCTACCATGACAGTATAAAAACTACCATGGATAACATCACTATTGTAGTCAAGAAATAAGTGTCGTTTGGCTATATATGCTGGCAGTCGAAATTCAATTTTTCAACGTTTCTGTAAAGTTTTATTTATAATAAAATTAATGTAAGCAAAATTTTTAGTTGTAAATTTCGCTTACCTTGAAGTCCCTGAAATTTGCCGGTGCCAGGATGCTTTAAATTTTTTTTATTTTTGAAATAAAATAATGCTAAATTTTTCTTAACAATAATTGTTGTCGGAAGAAGCAGAGTTGATGAAGTGAAAATTTTCAAAATCTTAATAAAATTTTAGACACAATTTCAGGTTTTCTGGCAGTCAAAATGTTTCAGGTTTAAAACAGTTTATTGCAGTTTCAGCAAGTTTGCAGGTTTTCAGCAGGTTTGAAGGTTTTAAATAGTTTATTGCGTTTTCACCAGGTTTATTTATTACTACGGGTATGTTCTCATTTGGTCTAGGTGGGTCGAAACATTAAATTACTTGTACACTTTGAATGACTAACATTATAGTATGAATATTTTCATTATTTCTGTAAAAATTATTATAATTCTTGTTATGTTAGGGCAATATCCAGTGATGATCATTTTCATTTTACACTAATACAACTAATTATTATTATTATTAGCATTAATTTAATACACCAATAATCATTATCGAGCATTTTCCTCAATCTCAACTGAAGCTGAGATAATATTGAGCTCTTTAAAATTAAATACTGCTCATAATTTCACTATCTAAAACTATTTGGCTCCTACTTATTGCATTGCAAATAAGTAGGACTTCCTCCTTGATATAATATATATTGATATATTACAGTATATCAACTTCCTCCTTGATATATATTGCCAGTTGTTTACTTAGTTTTGACTCAACTTATTGCTAATTAATTTAATGAATAAGTAATATTGTTATAAAATACAGTACAACGAGACTGGCAAATCTGTGTTCATCACTGAGTTACAAGCACGAATTCTACGTCAATGAAAAATCGTCATATATGAGATGAAAATGGAAAGAATGACGCGAATATTAATTCTGAAGCCATTTGTAAAATGAATACAGAAGAAATAATTAGAAAAAGTCAGGTGCTATAAACTCTAAGTAGAAGAAAATTTAGCATTTTATATAGATTTTTAAATTTATTACATCACACTTCAGTTGAAATTTTTTTTCCACTCCAGCAGATATAATAAACACTTTGTATTATCAATAAGATAATATGAAAAATTTCGTATTATTAATTATATATAAATTTTTCCATAACATCTAAGCAGGTGCACAAACCATATTATATTCTCGTTGAACCTAATTAAACCCACAAACTTATTTCATGATAAACTTTCACTCCCCACGAGAAAGAAAAAACCAATCCAGTAAAGCGTTCGCGTTTGAGTCACAGTGGCAGCAGCTGCAGGATTCAGCGCGGCAGAATCCTTTAAGAATCACACGGCGTAGGATCCTGCCTCTGACAAGGGAATATTTTCAGGCTTGAGCGGCCACAACTGAGGGCTGCGGCCACAACTGAGGGCTGCGGCCACAACTGAGGGCTGCGGCCACAACTGAGAGCCGCGGCCAGAACTGAGGGCTGCGGCTACTATAGAGAGCTAAGATTACAAAAACTTGAATAGAAAGAATTAATAACAAATATAGTAATTTTCACCTAATTTTCTGAAGAAAGTTGATGAAAATGATCTCGATTTGCATGTTTTAGTTGACACAATCTCCTAATAAATACGTAAATATTTATTGTAATCAGTGAATGACCTTGCACATTTTTCACCACTGTTTTTAATGTTTGTGTCGATGTTTATAACTGAATAGGTTTTATTCCTATAGGATAAGATAATGCAATGGATTTTTTTCTTTGTTTCAGTGAGAGACATGAACTCGCTAGTTAATCTTAAATTTGATTACGAATTTATATGAATGTGTATTTGTTTATGAATGTTAAATTTGTAAAAGAATGTACGTATATGGCATGGATTAAAGAAAATATTCCTTAAAAATCAACGCGGAGATATTTTCGATCAAAAACTTATTTTTTTTTGGTAAAATTTTCGATAATTATCAGCCTTACAAACCTCCCTGATACAAGAGACGTAAAAATAACATTAGCAATACAAAAAATCGGGATTTCTTATTGGGAATCCCCCCGAAATCCTTGGAATAATCGAAGGATATTCAGGGACATTGCCGAGATGATATCCAGCAAGGAAGCTTAGCGAGGATTTGCCTCCACCGCCGGGGTAAAAAATGGATAGCGTTTGTGGATGCAAAGCCACACTCATGTGAATCCAATACATTGTGTGTCCAATAAATACCAATACCAATCCAATACATCCAATAAATATCAGATGTTATACATTATTTTGGATCTATATATCAGATGTTAAACATTATATTGCATCGATATATCAGACGTTGTATATAATAATAGGTTTATTTACTAGATGTTTGTACCAGAAGTCGTACATTATATTTGATGTATATATTATGCATTTTTTTTGAATCGATAAAAGATTAAATTAATCGTCACAGTTTTTTATTTTATATGTAATACAATCATTATTTGAGATAAATGGAATTATAGCTCATTGTATTTCAGAAGTTGTACATTATATTATATGGAAGGATTATACGGGCGCTGCCATTCACATTTCTTACAATTTTCAACCTGTAACTTGTGAATGTTGCTTCGCCAAAGTTATGAAAAATTTTAAAAGGTTTGTTTTTTGAAAAAATAAGCTTCCAAGTTTGTTATTTCAAGCATCAAACTTCAGCATTTTCTTTTGTTTTGTGATGAAATCGCAGTTTTCGCCCGGAATTTGGCCGTTGAGCGCCCATTTATGTGAATTTTTTTTGTGAAATTTTTCGCAAGTTTGCACTTAAATAAATTCTCAAGTAAATTTAGCACTAAAGCAAATTTTTCCTGTAAATTTAAATTAAAATATATTCAAGATAGACCCGGAATAGAAATGGCAAATATGCAAACGAGCTTCAAATATTTTTAAACTCAAACAAATATTTTTATAATATTACTTTAATTTTCCATCTTTCTCTCAAATCAGGCTCCCATTTCCTATTAAAATATTTAAATAAATTACATATTTATATGAAAATAATATTTAAATATTTCGAAATTAACTCTCTTTTGTATATCAAAAGGGTTTTTAATGAATGGATATAATTCGAATAATATATCAATACACTTCTGAGTATTGTATATTGTGTAATATATTTATTTGCGAATTGCAAAGTGTTCGTAACTGGCAGATAACACTGAGAAAAGTGAAGGTGTCATATTGTCAAAAAATTGACACAACACCCGCTTGTAGCACTTATAAGTCATTTTCCCTTCTAAAATCAGTCAGGTTGACCCACACTAGAGACAAAATTGCGTCAATATCTGGACGAAGTCTCATTTTTCTGAGTATAGACGCCACGCAGATGCTGAGAGCCAAATTCCTCAGGATCGATCGAGGATGGAAGGGGGGATTGATCTAGATCATGATTACGGGATCCCCCTTCATCTTACGGGATCCCCCTTCATCTTACGGGATCCCCATAGATCATACAGGATCGCACTAGATCTCACAGGACCGCTTTAGGTCCTACAGAACCGTTCTAGGTCCTACAGGACAGCACTAGGTCCTACAGGACCGCTCTAGGTCCTACGAAACCACTCTAGGTCCTACAGAACCACTCTATGTCCTACAGAACCGCTCTGGGTCCTACAGAACAGCTCCAGGTCCTACAGGACCACTCTAGGTCCTACAGAACCGCTCTAGGTCCTACAGGACCGCTCTAGGTCCTACAGAACCGCTCTAGGTCCTACAAGACCGCTCTAGGCCCTACAGGACAGCTCTAGGTCCTACAGGACCACTCTAGGTCCCACAGAACCGCTCTAGATCCTACAGAACCGCTCTAGGTCCTACAAGATCGCTCTAGGTCCTACAAAACCACTCTAGGTCCTACAGAACCACTCTAGGTCCTACAGGACCGCTCTAGGTCCTACAGAACCGCTCTAGGTCCTACAGAACCGCTCTAGGTCCTACAGGACCGCTCTAGATCCTACAGAACCGCTCTAGATCCTACAGGACCGCTCTAGGTCCTACAGGACCGCTCTAGGTCATGCAGGATTCGCCTATATCTTACTATATCGCCCTTCATCTTATGGGATCGCTATAGATCGTATACGATCGTCCTAGATCTCACAGGATCGCCCTAGATCTTGCAGAATCTCCCTAGATTTTACAGGATCACCCTAGATCATGCAAGATCGTCCCAGATCTCACAGGATCGTCCTAGACCTCATAGGACAGCTCTAGATCTCACAGGATTGCCGTAGATCTTGCAAGGTTACCCCAGATCTTACAGGACCTCCCAGATCTCGCAGAATCGTTCTAGATCCTGCAGCATCGTCCAATAAATTATAGGACCGCCTTTGATCTTACAGAATCACCCTAGATCTTAGAGGATTGTTCTAGATATTGCAGGATAGTACTAGATTTTACCGAATCGCCATAAATCATAGGTCTTACAGGACCGCTCTAGGTCCTACAGGACCACTTTAGGTCTTACAGGACCACTTTAGGTCTTACAGGACCGCTCTAGGTCCTACAGGACCACTTTAGGTCTTCCAGGACCACTCTAGGTCTTACAGGACCGCTCTAGGTCCTACAGGACCACTTTAGGTCTTACAGGACCGCTCTAGGTCTTACAGGACCGCTCTAGGTCCTACAGGACCGCTCTCGGTCCTACTGGATCGCACTAGGTGCTACAGAACCGCTCTAGGTCCTACAGGACCGCTCTAGGTCCTAAAGGACCACTCTCGGTCCTACAGGATTCCCCTCATATGTGGCATGAGGTTCCCTCATGTGGCATGAGGCTCCCATCATGTGGCATGAGGCTCCTTTCATGTGGAATGAGGCTCCCCTAGTGTGGCATGAGGCTCCCTCATGTGGCATGAGGTTCCCTCATGTGGCATGAGGCTCCCATCATGTGGCATGAGGCTCCTTTCATGTGGAATGAGGCTCCCCTCATGTGGCATGAGGCTCCCCTCATGTGGCATGAGGCTCCCCTCATGTGGCATGAGGCTCCCCTCATGTGGCATGAGGCTCCCCTCATGTGGCATGAGGCTCCCTCATGTGGCATGAGGCTCCCTCCATGTGGCTGTGGCTAGACGCCACGCGGTGCCTCATAAAGAATCAATCAATAACGACAATCCCTCACAGCAATCCCTAACAATTCCCAGTCAATCACTTCATTAAATTTAAATCCCCGCGAGCGTCCAGTAATCCCTTCCCATGATCTCCTGTAATCCCCCGCGTGGGGGAGGGTGATTGGGGGACTATGGGGTATGAATTTAGTAAATATTAAAATACATATTTATAAAAAATAACATTTTCACAAAATTTTAATTTATTATTTCACTTCGGTAATAAACCACCAAGCGGATAATATGAAAAAATTATTTAATCGGGAATACTAGTTTGGTTTACATAAAAGTTAAAACCATAAAGT